AGTTAAAAACTTCATTGGTGCCGGCACCGGGGATCGAACTCAGGTTGCTCGAGTATATTGAATTAAAGGCGAGCGCCCGGACACTGAGCTATCACGGCTCGTCACGGAGCTATCACCACCTTAGATTTACCAAAATATAAAATCGTTTTCTGATGATATGACCCTGTGAATGACATCTCAATGTTAATTTTACGATTGATTGAAAATATTACTGCGTACACGATCTTTGGAGTAACTTCGTATTGTTTTATAAATTCTTATTACGGCATGACTATAAAGTTTACTTGGTGAATATGACTATTAATCATGTAAGACATGCTCATCTAGAGAAGTACCAGGGCCTTATCAGCATTAATAATTCATCTTCATTTCAATTTGTTAAAGTCCAGTGGTGAACATAGATTTCCCCCTCAGACTGCCACTTGCACGATCCTGAGCCACTTGCACCCATCGACTACCCACACATTTGAACAGGTAGTCTATCTAGTGGTCGACCTACACTGCGATGGCCAGTACGAAGCAACCACTCGAGAAATTCTATTCCCCATCGGCCATCGGTTCTACGAGCTATATGGCTGGCCCATTGCCACTTCAGCTTACTAATCTTTTGAGATATGTCGGTTATCTTTATTCTGCGTTCGTTGCGAACTCTATCACACCGAGAGATACCGAAATCAGCGTTAACTATAAAATTTCCATGTATTCATATATTTCCATATTATAATTTTCCGTTTCATCTATGAAAACGGGTTAAAGAAACACGCGTGAAAAACACTCGTAGATAAACATTATTTGGTCTTTAAACACGCAACATCTGAATGGATACGAAAAACCTAAACGTTTATTAATGTTGTATTCAATTCCTCTCAATAAGTTCTCCTTACATGTGAGATCATGTTCTATAAACATCTGAAAGGTGAGGCGTTTGCTATTAGTTTTAGTCTTTCTTGCGTAAGTGTTACTCTATCAGATCTGCCGCTTTCCATAAAACGTTAAAAATATTTCAAATTGTGCCAACACAATAACACAATATTGCGAATGTCCCACGCAACCCAGTGTGGTAAGCCTTCGCGGTGCACAAGGCAACCTTTGGAAGGAGCGATTCCAGGTCGGCGCTGGATGCAGCTGTGCCGCCTTACACGCATCACTGGCAACCCACAACAACCGACCGCCCTAAGTAACGAGTGCTTTGTGCATGCCGATAGATTAGGCGGCCCAAGCCACGCGAGGTAGCGTACTCGCGTTTCCCGTTTTAGTTTTATCGCTTGGTTAATTTTGTTTTGATAAATATCACACGATATAAGTGTGTGTGTGATACTTATCACGTGCTCAGCGGTGAAGGAAAACATCGAGCGGATACTGGAATATTTTCTAAATTACTCATAACAAAAATAATATTTTGAAAATATGTGAAGTCCGCCAATCCGCAGTGGGACTATGCCCTAATACCCTCTGTATAGAGGAGGCCTTTGCTCAGCAGTGGGATGTGTATAGGATGTGTATATATATATTACTCTACTTACTTATATCACAGACGTAAAGAGGACGAAATTTGAATAGAATTGATACACTTGTACACGATAGGTTAAAAAAAAATTGCATCGTCTTTATGAATATAAACATTAAAGTAAATATATTGTATACATATTCTGCCCAATAAAATAATAAATTCATTGCAAAAAAGGCTTATAATCTAGTCACATATTAGTTTATACTAAAACGAGGTCTGATAGTAGCGCGACTTAAAGAGGTCATCAGAGTTTGTTAAATCCGAAACACTGGAAAACTTCGGGAATTTCAAACTTCAAGTACAAATATCTCTTCGCCTTTAACATCATACGATCCTTAATCCTTGTTAAAGTTCATTCCAACCTCACGCCAATTCAATGTCGCAAAGAAAGTTATTTTACTTCACAAATTCTTGTAATAGTTTCTCTTGTTTAAATATTAAATTAATAAACGGATTTCGTAGCGGTATATTTTGTTTCATAGTCCCGACATTTCTGGTGGCAATGATGACTCTGACTGTAACCCCTGTTAACAAATCCGTAAATAAGTTTTATCTAAATTATAAATGATGTTAGATCATTTTTTAATTAGTTCTAACTTAACTAAACATTTACGGTAAACGGAAGACCGGATCTCTTATGACATCATGACAAGGGCACCTTAGTCTACAACGTAATTGTCGACCCTGTAAAACGAATTACGCGATAAAATCCGTTAAATAGTTTTACTTAACAATTATTTTACCACGTGCAAAACTTTCAAATTTGGGTTATTGTACTAATTATTATTTTTAAGATCTCGATTGAATCGTAGATCCGTGAGTTCAAACACGATTTTGAAACCATGGTGAAATAAAGAATGCACAAATCCCTTTGTCCTACACTCTACATATGTGTAGACCAGAAGGTACTTACCAGTCGGCACCTCTCATGACTTGGGCCGTGGTATCGTATTAAAAAAGGATGAGTCCCTTTCACCGATAGGTTACAGATTAGATCGGGCCGCGGCCAATTTGACGCGCGCTGCTTTCCGCAAACCGCGCGCTTTTTGCGCCCCTGTGCACTACGCTGTGCATACGCCGTTTGACGCCATCGCCCAAAAAAGTTAAGAAAACAAAGTTGACATTAGACGCGCGAATATCTCTCACCTAAATATAACAATAATACAACAATTAATAATAATACAAATAATATTCACAGATAATATATGTAATAAAATAAACCAATCGAAACATCTAATCATTTTTTGTAATAAATTAAAAAAGAAACAATTGACAAACGGATACTCACAAAACGAAAAATAATTACCTAAATATATGTATCCATAGATATAATTCGTGAACTTTATTTAAATGTAGTCAAATGTGTTAAAAATTATAATTTTATGAGATCGTGCCTTTGTGTTAAATTAACCGTTTTCGATTAAAAATGAAACAGTTAAATCTCTATGATTCCGTTATTCGCAAATATTTTCGGAAACTAAAGCAACAATTTTCTCCTTTGTTCCTCTTTGTAAAAGCGTGATTGAACAGATTTATACATATTAAATTTTCCATTACAATCTGTTTTATAAGTAATTAATTACATTAAAAAATTAATACAGTAATTTGTAGACTGAACAATAATTTGGCATTATCTTTTCAATCGACTTAAATAAAAAGGTTCTGAAATCGGTTGTTTTTTATGTTTTTTACCTCGGTCATTTATGAACTGATTTTAAAATTCCTTTTACATTGGATTCGATTTAGCTCCCACGTACTCCTATATTAATTTCATTGGTCCTTGGATCCATGAGATGAATCAGGGAACTCTACAAAATCAAATATGTGAGATGTTCAAAGTCGGTTTTGTTTTTTTTTTTAATACATATGTACTTGTTTTCATTTTATAAAACAACATGGAGGATGTCGAAAACAACATAAGAGATATTCAATCAATCTCTGTTTCTCTTACTCCACACTAGTTTAAGCTCTCTTACCATACAGTTCAAGCTTATGTTGGAACCGGAAGCTTCGTTCGACAATACTCTGAGAGTTACTCTGGCAACCGTACTAAATAAATATTGACTTGTTCTAAGTACTACAATAAAGCCACAACCTTACCTAATTTTATTTCGACCAGTTTTAAGGTAACCAATTTAACTACCTGGTCAAAGCTTATTCAATATCTATGTTTTATCCATCAAGTCGGTAGTGTATCAAAACTTTTATCATTATAAATTCATATATACATAATATTTTCACTACATAATTATATACATCGTCCACCCTTCCCAGTCCCTCCAGTTATTTAAAGACCGCGAAACAAAAACAATGGATTTAATATTTTCGGAACATAATGATATGTACCCTCCGCCGCCTCCGGCGATGAATTCATAAACAAAGAACTCTGAATGTATAATCGTGTTGCATTCGTTATCATTTACAAGGGGAGCATCGTGTGCCTCGAAAATCCTAATGGATGATCATTTAGAGCTAAACGCCCATATAATCTACCGTTCCTCAAATGACATGAAGTGCAGAACGCATCGTCATCTGCCAGAATGTTTGACGTAATCTTGATACTACTAGACAACGTTCTTCAAACCAAAAGTATCAAGGAAATTACCCAAAAGTTACGTTAAAAAAGTAATATTTTATTTATATTGCAACTTATCGTGTTTAGCTATAAGGAGAGAGTTGTTGCCAAGCAAGAGTAAAGGAAAATAATTTGTCTATGCGAATGCCGTAGACTCTTCTTAGTAGGTATTGAAAAAAAAATTATAATACCTTTTTTTATTAAGTTTTTTTTTTTTTTTAAATATACATAATATTTTCACTACATAATTATATACATCGTCCACCCTTCCCAGTCCCTCCAGTTATTTAAAGACCGCGAAACAAAAACAATGGATTTAATTTTTCGGAACATAATGATATGTACCTCCGCGCCGCCTCCGGCGATGAATTCATAAACAAAGAACTCTGAATGTATAATCGTGTTGCATTCGTTATCATTTACAAGGGGAGCATCGTGTGCCTCGAAAATCCTAATGGATGATCATTTAGAGCTAAACGCCCATATAATCTACCGTTCCTCAAATGACATGAAGTGCAGAACGCATCGTCATCTGCCAGAATGTTTGACGTAATACTACTAGACAACGTTCTTCAAACCAAAAGTATCAAGGAAATTACCCAAAAGTTACGTTAAAAAAGTAATATTTTATTTATATTGCAACTTATCGTGTTTAGCTATAAGGAGAGAGTTGTTGCCAAGCAAGAGTAAAGGAAAATAATTTGTCTATGCGAATGCCGTAGACTCTTCTTAGTAGGTATTGAAAAAAAAATTATAATACCTTTTTTTATTAAGTTTTTTTTTTTTTTTTTAAATGTGGCTATGTTGGTAATTAATTAAAAGGGCAGCATGCAACACCATAACCAAGACCATGCACTTTTGTGCCACCTCCTTGTCTATAAAAAAAGAAAAAAAATCGAACGGTTACCGATGCTAAACAACACGATGCATCATAATTTCCCCCGCCAATGTGTACAATGTTCCCGCGCACGCATGTTCTCTGTCCCTTTCCACCTCATGGGTTTTCGCCGGAGCGAGGTCGCAGTTGCGTCGGGGCGTGTTCTGCTCTGTGATTGGTGGAGGGGGGAATGGCGTTCGGCGCCGTCGGCAACCTCCCGTCGGCATTTTCCCGACGCCCGGCGTTCGAAAATCGAAAATTGCGTCCTGGAACGGAATTCTTCAGTGTTTATTACGAATCGGTGTGACTTGGATATTTGAATATAAAATATGTAATAAGACATAATGCAGTTAATAGTTTGCAAAAGCTTTACATAAAAAAATTGTGTTGAGAGTGTTTAATCCGACATCAAATTGGTGTGAATTTATAAATTTGTTCATCATAACCTTTAAAATTAGCCTTATATAATTTATTCTACACTTAAATGTTTTAATCATAGTGTTATTTGAAATTAATAACGATAAGTACAAATCACTTTTAATCTGTGCTTAAAATAAAATTTTTATAGGTACTTAGCTAATTTTATATTATAAAATTAACATGTAAGTGTTTTTAATATGTGAAGAATATTAATTTTATGTACTTATTTAATAAGCTGTAAATATTGTAGGTTTATCTAAGAATATAAGTATTAAGTGATGAAATAAAAGAAATCCCTTAATCCATTCTGTAGTCTTAATATTTTGTACGCAATTTTTCCATAAAACCATATAAAAGCTAAGTAAAGTTATTTTTGCACTTGTCGGCATAATTTCAAGTGATTATTTCATGTATAAAACCGAGAAGGTGAGTTCCCCAATACGTAAATTATTTATTGAACTCTTTAAAAAATTTGCATTAAATTAAAAGTACATTTTTTATTTATCTTTTCAAAAGTTATGGAATTAACTATAGTTATAACTGATGTGTGCCTTAACTTAGTTATTTCGTCTAGTTACCGCTCGTCAAATCACATGAAGACATCTATTTCCACTCTTTTGTTTAGCTTAAATTTACATTTCTAATTACTATACTGCCAACATAGGTACATTACTGATTTTGAAGTGAATTTCATCGATATAAGAGTAGGTACGTAATTGAATTATAGCGACGTCATACATTGCAAAATATTGGCGTTCCTTTGAACAAATACAATTAATTGAATGTTTTAGGGGCAAAGGTAACTTAGCATTATAAGATTTGGAACACTATATTGAAAAAAAAACAAAGGTTTAAAAAGATAACTATCCATAAAAAAAACACATCATTGTAGATGCAACAATATTACACGCACTACAGGCCTTTATACTCGTATAATTCAAATTACATGTAAGTATGTGTTCATTAAAAGGTTAGTAAAAATATATAGGTATTGAACATATGAAATGGTTAACATCGATTAAGTTCAAAATACAAATACCAGGCACTGTGGTAGGACGTGGCCCTCTTGACAGTCTTGACTGTTGCACGAATGTCCGTCAGGGTAAGTACCAGCATCTCACAGAAGATCGGTGTGAAGTGGAAGTGTGATACTTCTGCATTTCGTCTGGTGAGTGAGGTAGCCGGTGCGCGGTTTATTAAAAGGTGACAACGCATCTGCAACCTTTTGCAATACATCTACGAGTATTGCAAAAGTCGGTGGGCGGTTATCACTTAATATCCGGTGAACCGTCAGCTCTATTGCTACTGTTTCATATAAAAAAATATAATTATTATAAAAGAAGTTCTACCGAACAAAGAAGAAATCTCATTTATCCTACACAAGTAAAAATATAAAATACATTTTTACCAGTTTATAACATTTTCATTAAAGCTTTTCAAATTAAAAATAAAGTAGACCGGCAATGTTCAAAATCAGAAGGCGAAGAATTAAAAAAAAACTAGGTATAATAAATAGAACGCATTACGACGTTCACGTTCGCGACGAATTCCATAGCGCCGCCCGAGCGCGACGAACGCGTGTACGAAATATTTAATCTGTGGCCAATCGTCCGTTGACCGCGTTGAAGTGTCTAAGGGTGAGCGGGCACGACGCGCGGCCAATTAGAGAGTTACACGGACGGGAGCGCACCGCATACTGCGTACGCGCATGGCGTTAAGTGTTTGCGGAGGAACCGGAGCCAACGAACCTATTTAAGTATAGATAAGTATAATAGTATCCAGTGTAGCTTATAGCCCTTGTTACTAGCCACATCACTCGATTATCGCTGTACACCATTGCGGTACATTACATCATCACTTATAACAGAAAACTTAAAGTAGGTTGATTATCACATTCATCATCATCACCAGCCTCTTTAAGACCACTGCTGAACACAGACTGCCCAGAAGCATGATTCTATGCCACCTGCAGCCATCGACTTCCTGCACATTTTCACAGGTCGTCATTACATCTAGTGGGTGGTTGTCCTACACCGCGATGGCCAGTACGAGGCTGCTACTCGAGAACCTTTCTTCGAGATGCTGTTTTGAAAGAAACATGCTCCCATAACAACGTGGAAATGTATCAATACATGAATCTTATAATATACCTACCTAACAATCGAATTTAACATAATACTCGAGCAACCTGAGTTCGATCCCTGAGGAAACCTGCATATTTTCGAAATAATAACAAAAAAAATATTTCGAAAATATGTGAAGTCCGCCAATGGCACCCTAGAGGAGGCCTTCGAGGAGCACATGGACTGACTGCAAAGCAAATGCCTCCTCTGTAAAGAGGGTATTAACCCTCTGTACAGAGGAGGCTTAGCAGTGGAATATGTATAGGCCGTTACTGTCTATGTACTTGAAAAGTGATCAATTACTTCATCTACCTCTTGATGCCACTTAACGTCAAAACTAGATAATTTTCTATAGCGATGTTCGGAAGATTCAAATATATCATAGAAAAAACTTGTTTTAGCGTCTTCTCTTAATTTTTTCATATCATCTACGGCTAGTCTTAGAAATAAAGACTGGTATGTTTTAACAACCCTTACAATAGAAACAATTCCTGTATAAAATACATTGAAAGTTTCGTTTCACTATCACAATTTTTAAAGCTCTAGCAATAACAACTAAAGTATCGTAAATTAATTCAGAATTTGCAAACGGCAAATTCCAAGCCGTTCCTATTAAGTCTTGGAGCCGGCACCAAAGCATTCAGACAAAAATCACACCTCGCTAAGAGCATTACGGGGAGCGTTCATAATCGGCTAAATATCGAATTGTTCCATCTATTGTTTGAAAGGCTTAAGCCCCCCGAACCCTCCAGAATTGGTTTCGAGAGTTTTAAGCCTACCGCCTTCGGAAAAACTCGGTTGCGCGACAGAATACCGACTTTATCCGAAAGTCTATTGAGTCGAATTTCGAGCGTCCTCCGCGGCGAAATAATTTCTGAAAAGTGAAAGCTTTCCTACGCAAGGTATTTAGGTTTAAACTCCTATTGAAAGAGGTGAAAGTTTGGGGGTTGGAGGTGCAGAAGCGTTTTGAACTTTATTGAGTTGGGTTAGGGTGCTTTTCGGTAGTGCAGTACGGGAATGCTTGGGAGTGTTGAGAAGATAGTGCTGTAACGAGTCTACACACAGAGTGTAATTGTATCGGGAATAGGGATCGACCCGCGAATATATATAGTGAGGGGATGTTCTCGACTCTATGAAAATGGCTTCAAGGAAGTTTGATCTTTATTGCTTGCAAAATGTGTAAACCTATTTTGTTAAATTTAATCAGGCTTTGCTTTACAGAAATTGATTTGCAAGTTAATTTGAATTATTACGCTTACTTATTGATGAATTTTTGGTATGGCCAAGCGATAAATAGTTATACATAGTATAAGTAAGTAAAAACGTACATACAAAAACGTACAAGCAATAAACGAACGTGAACATCTAGAACATATACTTTACAATACATCTAGTTAAAGTGGTCACAACCTATTGTTTCCATTGTGACTGCAATCCCATTTTGTTGTGGATGTCCGTGGGCAGAGATAATCATCATCAGGTGAAACGCCTGCCCAAGCTTTAGTTAATGGATTCACCATATGTACCCAAAGTGTCTACCTCCGCGTCAGATGAAGCTTTAATAGCCTCGGGACTGAAAGCAAAAACATCAGTTAATACAAGAACGTGTCTACGTGTTTAAGCTAGCTGCATTATTATGGTTTACGATGAAGTTACCTTTAGTTGCGTAGCATTATCCTTTAGTACCGTCGGCGCAATCAGCGCCCAATCCATGTTCTTGTTTCGATGTTGCTAACCCTTACAAAAGGTACTTTTCGGGACGATTGTCAGGTACTGAAACCTTAGCCATACAATTAATAACTTGATAAGCAATTGTTTGGAAAATAGAAATTACCTTAAAATTAGCTACAGCGAATTTATCTTTAAATAGATGGCTTACAAAATAGGCGGTTTTTGTGTCGTGGATACGTAAAATAAATCAATATTTGTAAAAGTGTCTACAATACACCGTGGAGTGCAGCTTTTACTGTTGCACATAGCAGCTTTTGCTGTTTCTTGAATGGGCATCACCGAGGTAATACCACGACGCATAAAAGACTGCATTAAATTCCAATTTAAAAAGTATTTGCCTTTCGTCTGGTGAGTGAGGTAACCGGGAGCCATTATTTTAAGGGTTGGCATCGAATCTGCATCCAGCGGCATCGGCAACAGTAATCATTTAACATTTGGAGAACCACTCGCTTGTAATTTAAATATTAAACAAAAATAATATAATAATAATATTAAGGTCGTGAATGTGTGTATATGTCTAATGTAATCTAATCATAACTTAGTCATCACTACCACCAGTTCATTATGCTTCTTTGTAAGCAACATGTTTACTTTTGCACTAGAGGAGTGTTGTAGCTGATAGCGGAGTGGTTTGATTCCGCTCCGTGCTCTCGTACGGAACGGACCTCTATCTAAGACGGAGGGCTCATGCCACCCGAATTAGACGCCACTCGCAACTTCGGTTGCATTTTAAATCTTTGTGCAAACAGTGCAATAGTTTAGTGTTAGTGTAGTGTTGTGCTCGTAGGCAGGTTCCTGTTCTGTAAGTAGAATTCTATACACAGTTCTCGCCTCAGAGGCTGCATTGTTTTATTCAATAACTGTGTGCTTGTTGCGACAGGCGACAGCTAGGTACTCACCCTAGCGCACCTAAAGCGCAGGCGAATAACTGTTTTATTTTAGGCACACACCTCCCTGCCGCAAGGTGGGGAGGCCTATTTAGTAACCTACACGCCGGCGGGGCGCAAGCCCCAAAGGTTCAAGCGCTCGCAATGGGTTCCCTCCTAGAGGAGTTCCTATGCAACTAACACTTCCTAACAGCAATGTCCCGAAGTGTGGGCGAAATTCCTCGCGTTCGCGAATGAACGACGTCTAGCCGAGTTCGCTAGCGACAGCTCGGCTTCCACGGCTGTCAACTCGCCGCCATCTCCGGTGCCCTCTGCACCCGCTAATGCGTCGCCTTCAGCGATATTCGAAACGCCCGTCGCGTCGACTTCCGCCGCCGCGATCGTGCCCGTCGCGCCTTCCGCGCAACCCCAATCGGCCCCCGTCCGCACTGCCGTACCCGAATCACAATCGGACGGCGGATCGGATATGGAGGTCGAAACGACCCCCGCCGAAAACGCGAACGACGACCGACGGCTTCACCGTCGTAAAAATCACGCAAAAAGGGCAAGAAACGCCCCGCTACCGATAGCGACCCCGAATGCGAGGCCGCCTCAACGATTCGTCCCACAGCGACGCCCGCCAAAAAGGCGGCCGCGGCAGCTAAACCGATGCCCGAATTCGCCTCTGAGCGAAAAATAAAGCCTCCTCCACCCATCATCATTCAGGAGAAGGCTAAGTGGCACCAAATCTGTTCGTGGTTCGAACGCCACAATATCCGCGACCCCCGGTCGAAAAAACACACAAATGGGTATCCGCGTATACCTTGACACAACGGACGATTTCCGCCGCGTAACGAAATACTTGCGCGAAAATAAGATAGGTTTTCACACCTACTCGTTGCCCGAAGAACGCAAACTTCGGGTAGTTATCAAGGGCGTCCCGAAAGAGTCGGATGTCGATAAGGCCAAAGTCGATATCCGCACTCAGGGATACCCCGTACACGCAGTGCGACGACTTAGATACCCCAGAACCCGTGTCCCTATGGACATGGTCATGGTTGAACTTGACCCTACCCCGGAAGGTAAGGCCATCTTCAACCTAAAGAGGGTCTGTGGGCTCAGTGACTTAGTCATCGAGCCCCCACGTAAATCAGGTGTTGTGGCACTGCCACAACTGTCAACATTTTGGCCACACGGCCAATAATTGCTTCGCTCACCCTAGGTGCGTCAAATGCACCGGTGACCACGGCACAACCGAGTGCACGAGGCCGAAAGATTGCGCAGATCCACCGGACTGCGTAAACTGTCACGCTACCGGCCACCCGGCTAGTTATAGAGGCTGCGCTAAGGCCCCGAAAACTCCCGCGAGAAAATCTCCCGCGAAATCTACGTTGCCCAAACCCGCGTCCGTAAAATACGTTCCCGCGCCCGTACCCGTCACAAACGCCTGGGCGAAACCCCAGGTGGTAGTCCCGCGCAGGTAGTCACGCCCCCGGTCGCCTCACGACCGATCGCACAATCGCTGCCCGCCTGTCAAACGGCGCCGCGGCCACAGGTGCAGCCAACTCCGTCGATTTTCGCGGAAAACAAGGACGATCCGTTCGCGCAAATCACCATCATCTGCAGCCTATTAGACACAATCAATAGGCAGGAACTCGCCGTATTGTCCGCTAAAATAGCGGCCGCCACATCTGGCAACGAGCGGCTTAGAGCAATCTGCCAACACAAGACGCTTGTAGAAGCCCTATGGGCTTTTACGAGCCAACCATAAAAGGCATAATAGTCCGCGCAATAAAACCGCGCTCCGCCGCGTCGTTAATTAGAATCATAAAAACGCCTTAATGGGAAGTACAACCGCAGGTAGAACAAAACCTCGGGCTCTGGTTGTTTCGTATTTCAACGCAAACGGCATAAAGGGTCAAAGGGATGAAATCGCGGAATTCCTTCGCGATTATAACGTAGATATTTTTCTAGTGCAAGAGACATTCTTAAAACCTAGTGTACGCGATCCCAGAATCGCAAATTACAACATTGTCCGCCACGACCGGTTAGCAAACCGTCTGGGAGGCACATTAATTTACTATAAACGATCCTTGCACTGTTGCCCGCTCGACATTCCAGAGCTAAGTCAAATAGAGGCATCCGCGTGTAGGTTAGCGCTCACCGGCCACAGGCCGCTTGTACTAGTCTCAGCCTACCTCTCGGGGAATAGAACCTTACTTCAAAGCGACCTAGATACGCTACTTAACTTAGGCCCTTCCGTGATAATTGCAGGAGATCTAAACTGCAAACATGGGATACCCACAGCATCCCAAACAACAACGGAAAGCATCTCTTTAGCTTATCCGATAACCTAAACTTCAGCATAGTCGCTCCCGCGACTCCCACTAGGTATCCTACGGTGGACAACTATCAACAAGCGTCACCGAGTGTCCTAGACATCATGTTATTCAGGGAGGTCTCGCTCGACATCGAGTCGATAGAGACAATCCATGAACTAGACTCAGATCACAGGCCCGTCCTGTGTAAACTGGGCCAGTACGCCGGCGCGGTCTCTCCGACCAAATCCGTAGTGGACTGACATCGTCTTGAGGTCAAACTCAAGGCCTTGGACCCCCAGGACTTAGTCGACCTACCCGAGACGATAGCTACGTTCGATGACGCAAATCGAGCGATAGCAAGTCTCCGAAAAACCATCACTTCCGCAGTTGCAGACTCGGAACGGACGGTGAAACTGTCGGGCGACCGACGGTTTAACTTTCCGCCCGACCTGTGACTGCTAATTAGGCAGAAAAATGCAGCCAAACGCGCTTTCGACCGATACCGATCGGAATCGAACCGAACCATACTTCGACGCCTTCAGCTAGAAGTCAAAGATCGTGTATCGGAACACCGACATACAACGTGGGACACTCTCCTAGAGGACATCGAGCCATCGCACACCGCCTACTGGCGGTTGGCCCGCAGTCTGAAAGCAGACCCCCGCGAATCTCTACCGCCGTTAGTTAGACCTAATAGCGCTTCAGTAGCCCTAGATGACTCCGAAAAAGCCGAATGCCTTGCGGACAACCTAGAGCAGCAATGTACGCCATCGCGCGAACACACCGATACAGTCCACCTAACGGAGGTGGACCGTGTAATCGAGACTAGGGCTGCGCTTCCACCGGAAGGCGATCCTTTGAGTTCAGTGACCCCCGAAGAGGTCCAAGATATTATTAAAAACTTAAAACCCAAATCCGCTCCGGGCCCAGATAATGTTAGTAACAAAATTCTTAAAGCTCTCCCTGGGCCGCTTATCTGTTTACTGGCGACCATTTACAACACTTTACTCTCCAGTTGCTCCTTTCCCGACGACTGGAAAGAAGCCACGGTTATCGGCATTCGCAAGCCGAATAAACCAGCCAACCAGCCCTCTAGTTATCGTCCCATCAGCCTCCTCAGTTGCCTGGGGAAGCTCTACGAGCGGCTTTTATTAAACAGCCTCAATGAGCACGTGTTTACCAACGGCCTTCTGCCGGCGGAACAATTCGGCTTTCGAGCTAGACATTCCTGTCTCGATCAACTATTCCGCCTAACGGAACATATCCTAAAAGGCCTAAATAACCCTAAACATATTAGTACAGGGGCTCTTTTCTTCGATGTCGCAAAAGCATTCGACAAGGTCTGGCACAACGGCTTGCTTTACAAGCTGTACACACTCAAAGTGCCAGATAGGCTCGTACACACCATCCGGGCCTTCCTGTCAAACCGCTCTTTTCAATATCGAGTTGAAGGCACCCTCTCCACAAGCCGCCGCCTCACGGCCGGCGTACCACAAGGTTCCTGCCTCTCACCTTTGCTCTTTACGCTCTACACGAGCGATATACCTAAAGACCCCCACGTCAATCTCGCGCTTTTCGCGGATGACACGGCGCTCTTTTATTCAGACCGCAACCTTAGACAACTAACCACTCGACTCCAAAGCGCCGCCGACCGCCTCGGCGACTGGTTCCGCAAATGGAGAATAGAAATAAATCCCGAAAAGAGTGTGGCGATTCACTTCACACGAAGTACTTACCCGTCACATTTTTATAATGGCCCTCGTCAATGCAGAAAGTTGGGGCAAATATCCCTTTA